AATAAAGAGGGTGACGTCACGATACTGGTACAAAAAGAAAAAAAAAAAGAAATAGAGAGGACAGAAATTAATGAGGAATTAATTAAACATGCGCACACATCGAATTCCCTGGCAGTCCAATTAATTCGTTTAATCATCCGCTTGTCCCAACCTTATCCTGCTTTCATCGTGCACAGGCGAGCACGCGCGCGCGCGAGCAGCGACCTGCGTCCGAATTAAAGGGACGTCATTAAAACGGTAGGTATGCCAGACGTGGGGACGTGTGTAAGGTGAAGTAGAAATAGAGAGATACAAAAAAAAAAAAAAGAAAAATAAACACACACATACAGGAATGATAAACGTGTGATAAAGGTACGAGTATTCTTGAAGGGCGGTACACGTTAAACGTAAAAAATAAATAAGCCATTACGGTTGGTGCGCGTGTTATGTAAAATCGCTCGATCGTCGGGTAAGCTCTGTACGTGACTCGCGTGGTCGCGAATCGGAATCATGTTGGATCATCTGGTCTGGCAGGGAATAGAGAGGAAATACCGGGAGTGATACAAAACACGCCCGGCAAAATGCACGTGGTAAGGGTACACAGAGATAGAGAGCAATAGAGAAAAAAGCGCTGTAGAAATATGTACGCTTGTCAGGGTACAGAACAGACTCGAGCTTCTCAAGCTTACAACGGAGTAGGCGCGCACCTCAGGCTCGAGGACAAGCACCGACGGGTCTCAGCAGACTCGTGAACAGACACGATTAAAGAAGGCGGTAGGGCCGTCTTGGTATAAGGCTCATTAAGAAGGACGACTGAAGGAAGCGTACAGGAAAAAGGAAGGGGGAACAAACTTCTTTGCGCGCGAAAATGTCCGAGACCAGAACGCGTCAGTAGCGACGCGGGAAACGGTGTTTCTTCGGCGTGTCATCGAGAGAAAGAGGCGATCGTCCTCGAGCCTAATATTCTCGTTGGATAAGCGGTTCCTGCTCCTCCATCGCTCGCAGGCCCGCGTTAAACTTAAACATTAATTACGTAATCAAACGACGATACATGCTCGTTCTTCGTTTTTTTTTTTTCTCCTCCTTCCATCGTATACGCTCGTTAATAGTGGACGGTTACTTCCATAAGAGACCTTATCGTCGTAGAAATAACGCAGTTTCCATTGACTTGGATCGAACACGCTGTGACCGCCGCTACGGTTCTCGCAGTAGCACCGGTTCCGATCAAGTCGATGAAAAGTGCCTTGGGGGCTATCAATCCTAGAACTACGTGGGAATTGTTGCTTCCTCTACAAGATGGCGCGAGAAAATCTCGAACTCCCTCCCCCATTTTCATTCGGTCGCGTGTTCTTTCGCACGACGTTACGTTCTCAAGCGAGATAGAACGAGATTCTTCATGCGCCATCTCGTACACTTAGGATCGTATCTCTAAGACATCGCGAACGGCGAGCACCTCGCGATAAACGCGTTCGCGCTCGCGGCTCGGAATCCTAATCGTTCGCAACGGTTTACCGTTCGAACGTGTATAAAAAAATTGGCTCTACCCTCTCACCACAAGCAAATTGGATTATACTACGTGTCAGCGTTAGCGAAAAATCCTTAGCGGTACTCGTTAAATTGTAACACAAAATCTTAAGTAGCGTCGCTTATTGATACCGCGCGATTAGGCACCTTCGTTCGGTTGGCATATCTTCTTATTGTCGATGTATACATGCGTATGGTTATTTTATTATGTATAAAGTAGTAGCGGCGAAGCGGGAAGAGTATCGTCGAGTGTCGGCACGTGCCCTTGCTACTCGCGGATGTGGCCATCCTCTTCACAGCTACCAGGAGAAACCTATGGCTTCCCTGGACGGCCTGTGTTTTCAATCAGCGGCGTTCGATTCGAAAAAAAAAAAAACAGAATCCCGCGCGGGCCTCGTGTCGCAACGAGGTTGAATGGGGCGGAGAAAGCCTAGCAATTTCCATGGCAATTAGAACCAGTAATTAAAGCGCGCGTCGACGTTTCAGCGGCGGCACAATACCGGTGCGTTACGGTGACATTTTTTCCTCTGTTCGATTTTTTTTTTCTCACCCCGGACTCGATTGTCAGGAGCATTGTCGAGGTGCCGGAGGAATTTGTCACGGAAACAATCGATCAATTTCTCACCTGGTTCTGTATCATCCGATTTTTGAAAATTCTGGACGCTGATAAGACGTCAAGATGGGTTTAGGTAAGAAGCATCGGCACAGGTTCGAATCGTGAATGGAAACTCTGGGTTGAAGCTATTCGCGGTGTGTTTGTCGATGGTAGACAAATGTCGAACGGAGGAACAAACCGTCAAACTTCGGTTAACTGAAACGCAAACGTTTATACCATCGGGTAGACAAATGTCGAACGGAGGAACAAACCGTCAAACTTCGGTTAACTGAAACGCAAACGTTTCACGATAATCGTAGACTCGCACTTTGCTCGTCTTTATGTTTCTCTTTCACCTGTCCTTCCGTTTCCCTGGTCTGTTTGCGTTTACGGGCGTGTTCAAATCTTCAAGTTTCTCAATTAACCCGGTATCCCTCCGTCCGAAAGTCTTTGTATTGCCGAAATCGATAGGGGGAGCTGGGACGTACCGGTAGCTAACCGATTTAAATTTATCCAACGTATCACGCGGCTCTCCGTTCGACTCGACTCTACAGATATCCCCGTTGTCATAGATCTGGTCTACCAGGTTGCTGCTCGGTCGTAGTTTCACTTTGTTCCGATGGAAAATTTGAGCCCTTCCGCCCGGAACTTCGGGACAACCTAGTCTCGGCAAGTTCGACCGTAAGGCTTGTTATGTTAAATAGCAATCCTACGCAGAATGTAATCCGTTCGAACGTACTGTCTCTGCACTCCGTGCATTGTGCGACGACGTTTGCACGTTGGATCTATGTTCCGAAGTTAAGATCGACTCTCCGTTATAACTTCCCGGGCAATGGGGTATATTTGAACTCGGGGCTAGCGCGTAACTGTTCCTTCCCCTCCTCGGAAAACGTCAAAATAACTTCCCTTACGTAAACGTTCGTTTCCGGCTTTAATAGCGGTTCCCGCGGTAACTTTCGAATTTTCGTGATCCCGGGACGAAACACGGGGGAACGCCTACATGGGTCAATTCCGGTCTGCGGATAATTTAAAGGGAAACTATCCTCGTTTAAGTATACAATAATCCAAAAATGTATGTTCAGTTTCGTTACACTAAATTGAATAATTGCTATGTAATGGAACGTTACGTAGAGGGGTGATGAGATTGCTTCTTTGACACGGTTGGACGAGGAACCAACCAGTTAGCACTGATCGCAGGTCTCATTCCAAGCTTTCGGCCTAACTTAAAGCACGCCGGTCCAGATTGATAAGCTCACGTGTCGCGATGTAAATTAACCGGGCCAACACGGATGGTCGGGACGTGGCTAAGGTTAAGTCGGATGGGGATCGAGGTTACGTGGTCCCAGTACGCTCTAGATAGCTATCCTTGATGCGATCCGACGCCATCTCGCTGTCTCGTTTCCGGACCCTTCTCGCTCCCGAATTCTCGTCCAACACCACGAAGCTTAGCTTAACCCCGAGACGCCACAAGAGGCAATTAACCTTCCGCCAACCCCTTTACGCGCATCACCCTTCCCTACCTCAACTCACCGGTTTCTACGTCTGTCTCCTACTGTTTCCAGTCGTTCCGTTCCGACCGTTCTCTGTCCCCCCTGACCCACGCCCCAATCCCCTCAACCAGTCCACTATTCCTCCTGTTGATATCCTACTCGGAGCATCTGCATAATCATGCTCGATTCCCAATGCTAATTAGAGTCCGTGCCAGTGCCCTATCCTACGTAGCAAGTACACGTCGACCTCCATCGCCTTTGGAGCCACGCCACGCCTCATCCCCGCTTCGGCTTGTTTCGCTTTGTCTTGTCTCGTTTCGCGTATGAACGAACAGGAAAAACGGGGGAGGAAGAAGAAAGGACGGAATCGTCGCAAGAAACGAGCAAGATTATGCGCTATTATAAATGAAGGATGACGGAGCTGCCGGATAATCGATCGGACTCTGCCCTTTGATCGCTTAATTGCTTTTAGCCGCTACAGTGTAATTAGTTTCTCCTACAATTATTCGGCCAACTTTTCCGGATTCCTATTTTAATGTGACGAGACCTGGCTCTGGGGTTTCGAACGCCAATTCATTGGAAATTAATAACCGCAGATGAGTACGCACCTAATCGTATTTTATGGCCACTGGTATCGAGTTCAACATTATCGGAGTGTAGACAAAACAATGAAACGAGATTCTAACGATGATCATTCAACTAGCTACGAAGGGAAATCGGCGATCTTAAGGGTTCAGTATGCCCTTTCTGGTTACCCGGTTTCTAGTTCACTCCTAGATGATACATGATTTTTATAACTAATTGACCTTATTGTTAGTAATGAGAACAGCTATCGGAGACATATGGATGGATTGTTCGTCCCCGACAACAGAGAGAAAGAATAATACACGCGCGATAATTCTTATAAGGTAAAGAAAGCGCGGAGTCTTGTGGAGGAGACAGGCAATTTCCATCCAAGAACTACATCTGCGGTTCGATATCTTTAAAATTGCGCTAGCTGCCCTGTATATCGAACCGAGGCTTATCAAAAAAAAAAAAAAACGCTCCACAAAAGTTTGTACGATTCCCGGATCATAAGGCAACCGAGACGGTTGCCACGAGAAGCCAAGCTTATCGATTCGGTGTTCCTTTGAACCGTAATCCATCTCCCGAAAGATCGCGCCGATTGGATCTGTTGAAAATGTCACGAAACACACGAAGCAAGATCATATTATTAGCGAGAATAGTGTCACCGGTTCGACAAGCTGAAATTGTTCCAACGAAGCAAAAACAAAAAAAAAGTAGATCATCGAGTCTTATCGATGAGGAGATCTCTCCGTATAGCTAGCTGGGAGACTCGTAACGTTGGCAGAGCGTAGGAAGACGAGATTGGACGGGCGGAAAGTCAGAGGGGGATAGGAAACGAAGGGTATTCAAAAACGGCGCGCTGAATATCCGGTGTCGTACAACTTACAGAGGCTGTCTGTACGTCCCGGAACGGAATGCATCCCGGGAACGGAAACCGAGACCGACAATGCTTCCTGATGTTTGAGCATCTGTCGGCGTCTCTGCCAGGTGATGGTCCACGCGGCGATGATCGCGATCTGAGCAACAAGGAAGACGGTCCCGGCGACGATTGCCTCGCCCAGGTTGATGCACACGCCCATCGTAGACGAGATATCCTCGCTCTCGACGAAAACGGTGTCCCTGGTCGCCGAACTGGCGTTCGATGATTTGCCATCGTGCTCGAATCCGAACTTGTCCGTGATCTGGATAGATTGCACCAGCAGAAGATCCTCGCGGTTCTGGGCGGATGAACCGGTCGAACGACGACGACGACGTCTACCGAAGGATATCACCGAGCGAAGCTCACCGGTCGCCTCCTCTTGATCACATTGCACTGGTTCGCAGGTCGGCATACAGGGTGTCACCAGGGCACGGAACTGAACGACCTCGGAGCTTGGGAACTTGAACGCGTCGAAGTGGGATAGTAGAATCTGGAATGGAATAAAAAAATTGTCTGTGAATGAAACGATAATTAAAACGTGGGACTGGCAACGACTGTTTTTTTATGACTTCATTCATCAAGTTGTTTGATTTATTTAAAATAAGTGTATTCGAGTCGTATCACTATGGGAACTGTGAATAGGGTCTGACTCACATTTGGGTCACGTCTGGGTCATACCAGTGGTAGATGCATATCTTTCTTGGGGGAATGAATATTCATACAAAGAATATAATGCTGGCAGATGTTAACGTTATATCGCCTAGATTCTAACATGAAGGATAATTATGTCTCAAATTCTGTGTCCATTTTATATTCTAGGGAAAAGGTTACAAAATGAAATTTGTTTAGTTCATAAGGAACAAACTATAGATGTAAATCTAATGTTATTTGATTCCCTGGGGTTTTTCCATCTGTAAACGGATTAAATGTTTCGTCCTATCAACACATTGTACGTTCGCCGCAGCAAATGATGAAACACGAATAATTATTCCGAGCTTCAGGATCCGTGGGAACAATCGAAAATCAACTGGAATTGTACACTTTCGACAGCGTACGGGACACGCAAGAAACCATTTAGTACCGTTATTCATCGCCACAATAATACGTCAATGTCCCTGAAAGGAACGTCCACAACTGAGCGGAATATCTTTTCTCACAATGAAACGGCACAACGATTTTCGCGTATTTTTGTTGACGAACTTCACCGCTGGCGAAGACAACCCGGAGTACCGCTATAAGCTGCCCTCGGTGGATCTATTGTTTGCGTTTCTTTCCCCCCTTGTTATAAACATAAATGCTTTCGCGACTGAATCCAACGCAACGACAGAAAATTTCCATGGATTTTATCTCGGCGCAGGGGTCAAATTAAAATACCATCAAGCGACGATGTTAAGAGGGTGAAATTTGCATTTCATGGGGCTTCGGGATATCGCGTTGTCCCTGCCCTTTCATCGAGTTAGACGCGGTAAAATTATAAAAAATACAATCTGCAGCTTCACGCGGCCTATCATCTGTCAGGAAACCAGAGATTTCAGATTTTCTGGCCGATGTTATATCTTACAACGAAACCACACCAACCGTCGCATCAAATTCCATTGACTTAATTTCGAATTCTGACAAGATGCGACAGTCCCTTGAAGGAAAATTAAACTGTAAAAATGAAGAGGTTGTCTGTCGTCTCTTATTCGGAAAAACTTTCGTAATCACTGCATTAAATTTGGTTCGTCTGGTCTCTTTGTAATTGGCTCTCCATTATCGAGCGTAATAAAGGGTAAAACGATTTAGCTCGGTAATCGTTTTGTCGTCATATAAAATAAGGTACTTTAAATTCATTTCCTCGAACCTGCCACTTCGACCACCCGACAAGCAATTCCTCCTACACGTTATGACGGCATAAATTGCCAGACACGTTTCGAAATTCCCGAACGGTTTTGCTTGTTTTCGGACAAGAAAAGCACAAGCCCCGGTGTTTCGCGGAAGGCAATGATCAAGATCACGTAATATGCCGGTTCGTGGCACGCAATGTGTGCAAGAGGAAGACCATCGTAAACTGGTTATTGCTCCCGATGGCACCTGCCCTCCAATTTTTTTATGTTCATTAAGTAAGGCTGTGTAACAGCAATTACACAGCATCATGAGAAATTGCCATTAAAGCAGAGGCACATCCATCGTGGTGACCTTAGACCATCACGACGAACTGTTTCTCGAACTCTTCTCTCAAGGGTCGTTCTTCTTCTACTTGTAATCGCAAAGAGATTTTCCTTTTTTCTTGTACTTGACTGTGCTCTCGTTGAGCCTTTTCTTTCTATTTGTGGCTTGAGGTGACTAGCATCAACACTTCAAAATATTAGTTTCTCAAAAAAGGGAAAGGGCTGTCACAAGTCGGAGACTTAGATAGAAGGACATAACTGTTCTCTACCATTCAACTTATGAAGTTAAAATATTCAACTTCAGATGATTGGTCGAACAGTGTTTTTGCAACTTTCTCCCAGCAGTAGAAATACACTTTTTAAATGTACATTTAGATGATTCGTTTATCGTTATACTATTACCATTCCGAAAAATCATCTAACGTCTACCCATAGATTTCATTAAACCCAGTGCTATAAATCGATTACACACTGGGCATTCCGTGTCACCTCCTTAAATAACTCCCGAGTAAATTCTCAAGACTACCATCCCACCACCGCCGGGAATTAACAGCCTACCCTCTGTTCCTTCAAGTCGTCTAATCATAAAATTTCCCGATAGCTCGATCTACCCGCGTACAGTTTTTATCCACGGTATTTTACCTGTCACTGTCGCATCTCCGGCCCTCAACCCGATAAAAGAAAGGACAAAAAAAGAATCAACCGGATTGAATCCTGTCAGCGTTTCTTTCGTCACTTCTTCACCGAACTGGGAAACGCGTTCGGATTCACGATCGTCGGTCGCAACGGAACGCGCTTCCCTCTGCACGCGTGTATACGCTCTTCGGAACTGGTTTCTACGGCGCATTACCAAGTTCATCATATTTACACACCAGGCACGTACATTATCGGGCAAGGGGGTGGGACGGGAGGGAGTTAGTAAGACATTAAAATATGCTTCATTCCACGTACAGCTTCATTTAGCTGTTTCTTTGGCGGACGCGACTGGTAGAACGAGCGGAACTTTATTAACTTCACGTCAGCCAGCCTACGAGCGAGAGGATAGGAGAGGGTCGGCGGAAAGGCGCAAGGAGAGAACCTGGAAGATCGAGCAAAACGCGGGAAAAGAAACGCTCGCCGCGTATCCGCGGCATCTGGCACGGGCGGATTCCGCGTTCCCTTTCGACGGGAACGCAGAGAAACGTCGACGGGGACGTGACGAGAGACGACGACGACGGCAGCGGCGATTACTTTTGCCCGCGGCCACGACGAAACGGCCGAGAGTGATGGTAGATCGCGTCTAAGATCCGCCGGGACAGAGATGTCATAAGCATAGCCTGACCACGACGCGAGAGATTTATGCGTTTAGCCGCCGTTAACTTGATCCTGGCAGCTTCTATAAAACTGGACTCCGCTTGGACAAATGGTCGCGTGCACGGTAGCACGCGATCCATCGGGAAGCTTTGCGCGCGTGTGACTTTCGTTACGAATGGGCAGTGATTTTTGATACGGGAGGAACGGTGCGAGGGTAGCTTTAAAACCGAAAAGTGGTTTTAGTTCTCTCTGAAAATTTTTAGCTCGTGGAAGAACTTATATGTCTTCTTCCTCTGAAGTTGGAAGGATGTAGAAATATTGTATAAATATGGCTCTCATTCGGAAATGAGTTCCATCAGAAATTAATAGATCACCACTTGTTATTATAATGACAGATGTCTATCTTTTTTACTGCAGTCAGAAAAGTTTCTCGTTTATGATTCCCTGCGCGAGTAAAATAATCACCGATACGCAAAGCAAACCGAAATCAGACGGCAGTTCGTTATAATTCTTGACTTCGCCTCGAAAGTGGGTCTTATGTGTCATGAAACATGCCATATATTTGCACTTACACCGCCGCCTACGCGTCTATGTGAGCGTGGTGGCTGAGAAATGTTTCCAATTTCATTCAAACCGATTGTGAAATGGAAGAGCTCCGTACCGCGGCTTGGCTACGTGACAGACATACCGGAAAGCCTGACTTTTGGCAAATTCCTGGTTAGACGAGACGGATCCTCTTGCCAGCCGTTTCAGGCCCGACCGAATGTTTCTTCGGTTCTCGTTTCTCTTGCCATCCTCTTATCCGGAGCTAATAAAGTTTCTGGCCAAATGTCGAATGAGACAAGCAGCCGATCAACAACACTGCAAAAGTCGACGCAAGTCAAATAAACACTGCGACATGTCATTTCACGCAGTTACAATTCTTTACAGAATTTAAGTGTCAATCTGAACCAGTCTCACTCCTTTCATTCGTTTTAATAATTTCGAGATGTATAAGAACGAACATAGAAAAAAGGTTTTCCTGGTTCTGTTTCACAAAAGATGAGCACTTTTCAGGCAATATAAATTCACCTCTCTTAAATTCAGCTTTCTGTATGTCCTACTGGTATAATCAACATTCGTAATTCTCAAGGTAATCGGCACTCTTCTGTAACGGTCTCCGCGGAAGAGGCAAACCGTGAAAGGAAACGCGAATAATTGTCGTGAAACTGTTTTCTTGTTTGTTTCTTTTTGTTTCCCCTTTCAATTCAGTAGGTTTACTCGTGGCATTTTGAGTTCTGGTTTGTCGGAAATTTATTCGCGAGTGCCACAAAGAGCTCTCGAGCTAATACAGTTAAATGTTTCCAGTGTTGCGTGCTTTTTATCCTCGGGTGTATCGTTTTCAGGCGAATAATTCATCCAGAGGTTTCACTTCGACGTACGAGTTTCCAATGAACCCGTCACTCTTCCGTATCATCGTTCAACTCCGACCGACTCTCAGCCTTCTAATTGTACCGTTCCTACCTCTATAATTACCGATTCCGTTTTATTAATTATCTCCTTGCCTCCATTCACGTTCGCGCACGTACCCTCGACGGAAATGGTTAACGAGTAACGTTGCGGTGTCGGCCGAGTGATAAGAGAACAGAACAAAACGAGGAACAAAATAAAACAGACGTTCGCAGCCTGAGAAAATCTCATTAATGGTGAACGTGATAAGTATGTGGTTCTTCGTACGCGCAAGCACAATAAGAACCGGCAGTTAACGCGTTCGCGACCAACGATTTCTAGGTAAAGCGTAACCGTCCGCCCTCTTCTTGTCGCCGATTGCTTAGAAAAATCCGCTTCGGTTGCACAGTGTGTCGGGTATTTATGTGAGAAGGGAACCAGTGTTGTCAGCATTTATTGTGTGCCCTATTCAAACGTTCTCAACGTTTTTGTTCTGCAGAATGTAACTACTTGTTTGTTATTATGTTCAGAATAGATTAAGATCAAAATATTTTAGACTCCTGTCAACCCTTTTTTAGGCAGACGATTGATTTTCTTACACAGAAATGATACTGATTTT